TCTCATGAGTATTTAAGGAGTTTGAGTGTTATTTAACTTTTTCCTATGACATTTTATACATCATATGATTGAACTGCAAGAGGTATTTTATGATTTTATTTCAAGTCCATATTTCAACACACACTGAATAAGCCACAGATCTTGAAGATTTCCCAGTAAGACAATGCAGTGCTGACTTGGTATGTAGGTTGAAGAGAAAGTGAAAGCAGAGCCTCCTCCTCAATTCCAGATCAGATCTGTACAAAGGGACCTTTCACATTATGTTCCATGATGTTTCCTTGAATTCATACCAAAGTCTGAGCACTGGGAAAGGTCAATATCGACGGTAACGATAAACAGGGCTTGCATCCATTTGATTTTGAATAAATGGCCTTTGCAATATTAAAAAGAGCAAAATGAGGCCCTCTGTCTTTGAGAAGTTAACTGAATCCTGATGATAGCTGTTACCTCACAGTTCTTACGCTGGCATGCCAAAGCCTCAGTAAATGGCTTGTCATTGGCTGTGGTTCTACTAGTCTGTCATGGTCTCAGAGAAGGTTCCTCTACTCCTCTGAGTTTGCTCTAGTCTGTTGAGGATGAATTGACTTGTATCGATGAATCGTTCCACACAGTTTACAAAACACACCTCTGTCCTGGAGTCGAGCTTCGGGCCAGGCTTATCCATGCACTTCTCCTGCAAAGATAAACATTATTAGCTCCAAAGAAACCCACAACTGATGACCTTGATGCATTTGGCAAACAAAAATAATAGTTTTGAAGGACATGTAACCTGGTTCATCCATTTTGGATTGGATTGAGGTACATAACTGGATACAATAACATACCACCAATTATTACAGAGATAAATCCCATGACACACACACACATACATATCGATACAACTGTTGTATATAATAAAGGGTAACAACAAACCTAAGACAAAAGAGAGCAGCACATTTTAGTTTTAATAATTACTTGAACTACATAAAATAAAATGAAAATCTATATATCATAAACTTGCGAACAACTCAAGTGATCAGACAGGATATACAGAGTCAGTCTTCTATCATATGTTCTACAGCCTCATCATGAAGTGATGCATTATGCAGCCCAGTAGGATAGAAACACACACACTCACCCAGCACACTTCTGTCATCTGATGAACCAGCTGCTGAAACTTCTGCTTTTGAGACTCGACCTCGATAAACTGCTGCAGCTGAGGGTCTGTCTTGACTCCTTGATTATCCATTGGGGAGAATCCCTTAATGGTTATATTTGACCACTGTATACACTGTTCCAGCGCAATGCTGACCTTCACGTGTCTCGATAGCCAGGAAACAGTAGAGCGGCGCGCCAATGAGAAAGCGTGAAATCAAGAGGAAACGGATGTGACTTCAGGTTGCACGCGGAAGTTGTTAAAATCCACAGCACTACAAGGGTGTCAAAGAGCAGTGAGGTTGGTGAGCTGAAAATCTTTCCTTTCTTTGTCTTGTATTTTCACTTTGGTGAGGTCAAAATTGCGACGTTATCTTAATTTAGCCATTGCATGCATGTTTGTGCAGTATAAATGTATGTGTAAACAGAAACAGAGCGAAATAGATGAATGTCAAGCAAGGTCTTACAGAAAGCTGCTAGCCTAGCCACGGAACGCCACTTATAAATGTGACTAAACGTTCAGTGAGATTTGTCTGCACACTCTGTCTCTTAATGCTAAGAAATTCTAGATATTTCATTAATGTGATTTGTAAGTAACCATATTCATTCATATCTGTCATCTTTGCCAGATGGTGTACAAGTTGCGCATGAGTCGTGTTTATCGAAATAAAATTGAATTTAGCTGTTCCGCTTTATTAGTCTATGCAGTTCCCACTTAGTAAATTGAATGGACGTTTGTATGTAACATTTAATTTTTTATATTTTACACTGTTATATTCTAACCCTAAGCCTGGATTTGTTTATGTACAGCAGCTACATGTTGTTGAAATTCACAATGTATTCAAATTAATTAATTCAATTATTGAATGGATACAACAAAACAATCAACAATACTAATTATTACATGAGATACTGTGTAAACTATTTTAGGATCAGTACTGAAGGGGAAAAATAAACCTTGGTTGTAAATAAACTGTAATTAATTTACTTAAAATATGTTAAAATATTTTTAATGTATGAAATATAATATTTTGTTCATTTTCACGATGTTATGTTTTGTTGGCATAATTTAATTTGTATGTCTGTGTGTTACTGTAAATTGTTAATGGAATATATTTGATAATTTAATCCAAAATATAGTAAAACCAGTAATATTGTTAAATATTTTAATTTAAAATAACACTGTAAAAAATTCAAAATACAATGTATAAAAAAATCATTTATTTTTGTGCTTTTTTAAAACATATACAGCTGTTTTTAACAAATATGTTAAATATATATAATTTCTTTAAATTTATTGATTCAATTATTGACAGTGAAATGTTACTGTTGTCTTATGTTTTATTTTAAACATTACTAAAGTGAAACTTGAATTAAATTTCTCTTAGGTCAGCTTTCTTGGCACAATGGGTCGTCACTTCGGAGATTTGGCCAAGATAAGGCATGTGATCACCTACAGTATTTCTCCCTTTGAGCAGAGGGCTTTCCCAAACTACTTTTCTAAGGGAATCCCAAATGTTTGGAGACGATTCAAAACATCTGTATTCAAGGTTGCACCACGTAAGTCATCTTTGTCTGAAATATATATATATATATAATGTATTCCAGCTATGAATTGAAGCAAACATTGTGTATGACTAAACTTTTCTACAAACCTGCATGTCTATTTACAGCCATGGTTCTGATGTACCTGACCTACACATGGGGCAATCGTGTTCATGAACAGAGCAAAAGAAAGAATCTTGAAGACTATGAGAATGACCAGTGAAATCACTCCGCTGAAGATCCTTGTGTAACAACTTGTTTCAGCTCAATAAAGAAAATATTTATGTGAAAAATGGATTTCTGATTTGTTGCCACTTAATCACTTCGATTCAGTTTAATTGTTTAATAAAGTACCTTAATATGACGCATCACTCAGATTTATTCTCTCATTTGTAACGGTCATCATAAATATTAGAAATACAAGTGTCTTCTGGCAAGTGTTTGTTTTGCTCCTGCTACTGGATTCCATTTTACATGTCAAGGCAAGTTTTATTGTGTTCCATAGAGATTTATTTTTCTGTTTTTACTTTTTGTTTTGGTGAACTGATGAGATTTTATACATGATAATGAAATATAGCTGAACTATGCCATGTAAAGACTTCTCACATTTATTGGGTGTTCAAGCCTTTTTCAATGTGAATGCTCAATGTCAGTACAGAAAGCTCTCCCTCCCTCCTTTACTCTCTCTCATTCATAAATGTCTTAACCATCTGGTAAAGGTTTTTACAAAGCCTAAACATAAGAACCACAAACTGTAAATACATGCATTCAAATACATGGTTGTTTTTCTGGATGTGCCCATTAAAGTGTTAACAGAACACATAACAATGCCACGACTGTTCAAAAGTTTGGTAAATACAGTAACAATAGTAATATTGTGAAATAATTTAAAATAATTGTTTTCTATTTTAATATATTTTTAAATGTAATTTATTCCTGTGTTGGCAAAGCTGATTTTCAGCAGTCATTACTAGTCTTTAAGTGTCACATGATCCTTCACAAATCATTCTAATATGCTGATTTGCTGCTCAAGAAACATTGCTTAATATTATCAGTGTTGAAAGCAGTTTTTTTTTGTCTGGATTCCTTGATGAACAGCAAGTTTAAAAGAACAACTTTTTTAAATGTTCAAAAGTCTTTACTGTCACATTTGTTTCATTTAATGCATCCTTGCGGAGTATAAAAAGTAATTTATTTGGAAATGATCCTACTGACCCTAAACGTCTGAATGGTATGACTACCGCAAATACTAATTTCTATTCCTCCCAGTGTATTAATATAATGCCGCCTCTGTCATGTGCAGTGTTGTGCAAGTTACTTCCAAACTGTAATACATTATAGATTACTTGTTACTGTTATTTAAAAGTAATTCATTACCTTACAATATTACTGTCTCAGAATTGTAATGCGTTACATGACTCCTGTATTACTTTTGAGTTACTTTCACCAAAATAACTACAGAAGTAGAATTTATTCTAAAATGACTAAATGTACTGCAGAGCATTTTACATCCAATGGAGTAGCATAATGACTGTGGGCTATCCAGGCTACTAACAATATAGCTTATAATTGGCCAAGTGAAGGCTCAAGACAATGCAAGAAAGGATGACAGCCAGAATCACAAACGATCCAAGCCTGTTAAACGTATTGTAGAGGTAAAGTGATTATCTGGCAATATCTGTGAATAGCTTCGGTCTATTCATATTAGACACAATAGGACTATATATGTAAACTATAATGCCATGACAAGAAGCTCATACGTCCATCTTACGCATGTACAGTCTTCTGCCATCTTCGCCTAATAGCCGCTTTTCCACTGGCCAGTGTGAGCCGGGGCTTACAGCGAGCCGGGCGGGGCTAATAGCCTCGGACCTCGAGCACGGAGGCCGAAATCATGCCGCGTTTCCACTGTCGGGCCAGTAGCCTCGCGGCACTCCTGTAAAACCCGCCCTAAACACGCCTTCACTGGACTACGTCACACAATACAAAGTTCCACCAGCGAGAGGGAGATGAATGAAATAAATCGCTAAACAAATATATCAGAAGCTGTCGTTTAGTCTTTATTTACAAACTTGGACACCACACGCGGCTATTGACTGACCACGAACAGGAAATAGAACTTATTTGCGGCATTTTTGATTCGTTAATGTCTCGCGGTCTTGCTGTTTTTTTTCTTTGAACAATTAAATTTGGGGCTAAAAGTGTGTTTTTGAACATGTATCGAGTAAAATATTACTGAAAATTGATTAGTAATGCCTTACACTACTGCGTTACAGCAACAAGTAATCAGTTACTCCCAACACTGGTCATGTGTTTCTGTTCAGTAGCGCAGCACGTTGAAACGCTCATGCTCGGTTTAGCTCAGCGTCTAGTGGCTTTATTCTGACTTCACAGTTTACACCGACACAATCCGTTATGAACACCACCGTATGAATACGAAGATGGGCAGCATAAATACACCTAACGAGTTTATAACTCAGCACCTCTAAGTAGCCACACTTCATTTGTTATATGTAATGTTTACAATGTACAGCAAAAGGATTTCCGCTACTACAGGTATATATGTAACGGCTGCACTTCTTCAGTGAGTTTGTTTGTGTTCGGTGAATTGAACTGTTGTCTTTTTGCGAAATATTTCCCATTATCAAATATAGCAGACTGTTGTCTGTTTCAACATGGCTAGGCGCAAAGTGAATCATAGGTTCAGCACCCGGGATATTATGGATGGGATTGACAGTGAAGGACATTGATAAGCATGGGTAACGATGATGACTATTGTCCAAACTTGCTTCTGGGATGTACATACTATTGTGTCAATTCACAATGCCTAAACACAAGCTTTCACGTCCCTCCCATTAGTTCAACTACTGCGTTGGCCTGGGTGTTGGCTTCCTGTTTATGGAGATATTAAGCCCGCTGGCTCGACTGTGGGCGTCTTTTCTTACTCTTGGACGTTCGCTGTCATCTTCTCGTAGGCTCTTCGGTCGCAGCATGGCCTCTGAATCCGTAACGCGCTTTGATTTTCTAGTGATTGGCGGGGGATCCGGAGGGCTGGCCGGCGCGCGGCGGGCGGCTGAACTCGGTGCCACTGCAGCCGTGATCGAAAGTAACAAACTCGGAGGTACCTGCGTGAGTAAAGATCATCCTGCTCCTGCAAACCCACATTTCCCTTAGACCCATGTAGGTTGTGTTCTTTAGACGAGTTATTTACAGTAATTGGTCGCTCATTACTCACATGAACAGAGGTGCTTTGGGAAGCCTCCAGATCCAGCGCTTTTTTGTGGCATGTTTTTGTGTGTAATGCAAAACCAGCACCTGTGCATTTTTGTCTGGTGATATTATTGACTTGGTTTATTAAACAACTTTTCTTCTGCTGCAGGTGAATGTTGGTTGTGTTCCTAAAAAGGTATTTTTTCCCCTTACACTAAATTGGTTAGGTGCATAATGTGAGTTGGGTTGTCATAAATGCTCATAAAGTTTAGCATTTTGTATGCTTCCAGGTTATGTGGAACACATCCACCCATGCAGAGTATCTCCATGATCATGAAGACTATGGATTTGAGGGAGCAAAAGCACATTTCAACTGGCAGTAAGTAAGATAACACTTTCTTGGGGGTTTTCTTCTGGGTTGTTTGGTTTTGTTTTTGTGTATAATGTTAAGTGTGTAGGATTATGGCAAGCCATTGCAACATTAAGTATTCTAAATAAAAAAAAAAGCATTTATTTAGTATCTGTTTTTTTATTACTAGTATATTTACTACTATAACTACTATAATTTAATAGTAACTAGTATATTTCTCTGCTATTGCATTTGTTGGTTCATTAGATAATAGTCTTGATTCTGATAGTAACTAGTACGTGTTCATATAACCAGGGTTTGAAATGAACTTTTTCACTCACAAGCCAATTTGACTGCTAAATATTTAAGTTACCAGCCATTTATAACTTCTTTTATTATTTATTATTAAATCTGATTCTAAATCATTGAATGGTTTTCCGTTTTAAAACAGTCAATCATTGTTTGTGAATACCATAAAATTTAAACAAAATGGAAATAAAAATAAAATTCTCCATGAATTCTTTTTTTATTTATTTCCAAATTTAGCTCACGTCAAAATGGCAATAGTTTAATGATAAACATTGAAGATTAGCGGACTGGCTGCCAATTCATGAACTGATCAGCTGTTTTCTTACAAAAGTCAGTGTATTGAAAGCTCTTCTTTGACATTTATTGAAAAAGCCAACCCCTTCTCACTCTAAGTGAAAAAGTGGCCTCATCTCCTAGGGCTCCATTCGCACACTGGGTGAGAAGTGTGGCGCCTCGAATGTCTCATAGGTCTTGCACACCAGACGCGCCATTCTGAATGCGTTCTCAAGTTCAAGGCGGCAGTCCAAAACAGTAAATCTAATCACTATGCAGGCAAAAACTTACCTTCCGGAATGAATGAAGTGGCATCAATGAGTTTGAATTTAGGCGTTTGGAAAAAAAAAACTGTGCAAATGGAAAAAGAAAGGGCGATCTATATTATTATAACATATTAAGCGTAGACTTCAAGCAACAAAAAAATAACTTTTTACTGAAAAATAAATGCACAGTACACAATCGTTTAGCCTAGGGTAAAGTCCGTATGTAGAAATATTTGTCCCAATTCATTATTAATGTATGTGAGTGGCATGGCAATATTTTGAACAGTCTACAGATACACATAGAAAATAATTAAAAATTTTACGTGGCAATTCTCGTCCAGTGTGCAACCTTCTTTACGCTTTGTTTTGCTGTTGTTGGAGGACATAATTTAAGAATCATAACCAGCCAAATTGGCTAGTGAATTGATATGTGTTACCTGTCACGGTTGATTTTCACCCACATTTGGCGGGTTAGCTGGTTTTAATTTCAAATCCTGTCATAACATACCAGTAAGTATTCCATTACTACTGGAACAGAATTTGCCATTGAATTCTATGGGAATTTGCAGTTCACATATCAACTATTCACTTCTAACTAGCATGTATTTCGATTATCTATTCTATGTTACCTATTTCAAGTACCTTTTCTACTAGTAATTCTACCAGTGATTAATAGTAATTAAAATGAAGTACCAGTTCTGTTTCTACTGGTAGTTAGTTTATAGTAATTAAAAGTGAGTACTAGTAACATCAGTAAAGATACAGGAGGGATACATGTAATGTCAGCTTGCCATAGAGGATATTGTTTCTGTAAGAAGATGTGGTAATTCTTTTCACAAAAAAGGACTTTTTTACACTTGTGACAGTTGAGTATAGTCATGTTCCCACAATCTCTGATTCATTACAGCTTTCAGTATTTGTTTTGCTTCCCTTTTGTGGCATATAATATCGGTACTGCTTTAAGTGGATGTTTTTGTCAGCCACAAAAGCATGAGGTGGAATAGTTTGCTTGACTAGAGGTGAGTTATGCTGTAGAGAGTTCAGCTATCAGTGATATGATAAAGCTAAATTAATGGAACAGAGACCACTCTTTGGGTATGTGTATTTTCAGACTCATTAAACGCAAAAGGGATGCTTACGTTAGTCGCCTGAATCAGATTTACCGGAACAACCTTGACAAGGTAGGCTGCAATAAGTTACTTTTAAATCAGCAAATTAAATATGAAGTGAAAAGTAATTTGTAGTAGGTAAAAAACTAATCAAAATCTTTTATACCAAAATGAGCATGGTTTTAAGGGGTCACATTGTGAAGAATTACATTTTCTTGATCTTTATAGTACCAGTTCTACATTGTACTATGAAAGCTTTACATTTAATTGTCAGAGGCAGCGTGGAAAAATTTGCACCAAAAGCATGTTGCTAACTGACTATACTAAGTGGACCTCAAGGGAAAAACTAAATAGCATAATGAAAATGCTTTATAGGACCTCTTTAAACCTTGAGAATTTGTATTGATGTGAAGACTGAGAAGTTGTTTGTGGTTGTACACAGGGCAAAATTGAGTCCATTCATGGCTATGCAAGGTTCACAGATGATCCTGAACCTACTGTTGAAGTTAATGGAAAGAAATTCACAGCTCCTCATATCTTAATCGCCACTGGCGGCCACCCATCCACTGTCAGTGAGGATGATGTTCCAGGTGATCTTATGTTTGTTCATTACAAAAAATTTACCTCATTCTGCTTTACTTCTCAGTTCATCCTTATCATGTGCACTTGCATTAATGTGATTTTTGTAATTATTTTCATCACTTCTTTGCCAGCATCTGCTAAAAACATTTAGTAAATTTCAATGTTATTGCAGGAGCCAGTTTAGGCATTACCAGCGATGGATTCTTTGAACTTGAGTCTTGCCCTAAGTAAGTGATTAATTGCTGATTTCTACTTTATTATTGTGTTTTCTTAGCTTATCCTAAAATAACCGACCACTGTATCCATCTAGACGTAGTGTGATAGTTGGGGCAGGATATATTGCTGTGGAGATGGCTGGTATCCTTTCCACTCTTGGGTCCAAAACATCCATCATCATACGACAAGGAGGGGTAAGAGCTCTGTTTATTGTCACCTGGCTAAATGCTACTGTCATGTATATCCCAAAGTAAGCAATGGCTGTGTTCTTTCTTTTCAAGGTACTGAGAAACTTCGATGCCTTGATAAGCTCAAATTGCACCAAAGAATTGCAAAATCATGGTATTGACTTACGGAAAAATAGTCAGGTAACTAGTAGTGAGCATTATTAAGTCAAGTATTATGTAGGTGGCATATCTTTCCAGTGTGATCTATCAGTTTGTTTGGCACAGTTTCAGTTATGATCCCCCCAAAATATATCTTACATCAGTATATCCAAATATTCTGATGTTTTCACAGGTTAAGTCAGTGCAGAAGACTGACAAAGGCCTTTCTGTTAAGCTGGTGACAAAAGACCCTGATGACAAAGATGCACAGGAGAAGTGCGACACCATCCATGAGGTGGACTGTCTGCTCTGGGCTATTGGCAGGGAACCCAACACCGCTGGCCTCAATCTCAGTTCAATAGTAAAAATGAATTTCAGTTTGATTAATATTATTATTTTTATGATTAATATCAGCATTAATAGTATGATTGGTAAAATATTGTTTGTAAAAATAATAATAATAATAAATACCTAAGAAGCTTTAAGGAATGTTACAGGATTATAAATTAAACTCCATTGATAACATCTGTGGCATGATGTTGATTCCCAAAGAAAGAAAATTCCTCACTTTATAGAAGCTAGAAAAACTATTTTTACAGTATAGCACTTACAATTGAAGCTTATGAGGAATGGAACTGCATATATTATATTGTATATATTACATGTAATAGAAATATAATGTAATTTTATGCAATACATTTTTTTGTTTTGTTTTTGGACCTCACAATTTTTAAACAAAATGTCATAACTCGATCTTCCGGTGAAACGTCAGACTTGTGGTCTGCAGCTCTTATTCAGATCTGCCTTCATCCAATCAATGACTGATAGAACCATGTCCCTCCCCTACAATTGTTTTCTGTTTTCAATAATCCGTTTCACTCTGATGTATGTCACACTATGAAAGAAAAGATCTGACGCTACTTCCATTACATCACAATTTTAAACATGACACAAGTTAACATACAAGTAAAAATCTCTTACCAACCTTGTCTGTGCAAATTGCTGCTCACAGGAATTTTGTCGCTCAAGCATAACTAGATGTTTATGCGCCTAGAACGGTAGGGAGATTTAGACAACTTTACCCCTTTTGTACAGAAAAATTGAAGTGTGCTTTAACAAACATACAAGCTGTACATTTCTGCTTTTAAACCCTCTAGAATGCATTGTCACATTGTGTACACACCATTTTTGCTTTTTACAAACTGAGGGATCATCAAAACATGCCACAGATGCTGTTGATAAAGTTCAACTGAAAACGGAATATTCTTTTAAACTGCAGAAGCTACACAAGATATTATCTTCGCACTGTATCAGTTGGTGATAAAGTAAGAATGACAGTTGGATGTATTGTTATCCAGGGTGTGAAGCTTGATGAAAGGGGACATATCGTGGTGGATGAGTTCCAGAACACCACTCGTGCAGGTGTCTATGCAGTTGGGGATGTTTGTGGGAGAGCTCTTCTTACACCTGGTATGGTTTCAGGATCACATCCTTATGGAGAATTTGCTCTTACATGCATTAAAATCTTCTGGGTGTTTTGTTTGAATACATCAAATAAAACGGCTCATTTTTACACACTGTACTCTGTTTTGGCATAGTATTCATTAAGCACACTCAGAAACCAATTAAGTAAGAGATTTGGTCTTAAAACAATTCATTAAACTTAAAAGATCTTAAAAGATGATGCATGTTGTGCAATTCAGTCTTCCTGTGATTCAGTTGGTTTATGTAAATGACACCTTTCACATTGTGTTTAAAACAACAGACCCTCCCTACATGAGGAAGTTGATTTTGTGCAGTTTCATTTTTTTGTTACTCTAGCGACATCAACTGGTCAGAGTAAATTGGATATGCTTACCATTCATCACACTTTTTTAATTGCATAGTTTATCATCTGTTTAATGGGAGTGTATATTCTGTTTTTTTCTGATAAACTGTTGTTGTTTCCTGTTTTTGTTTGTATGCATAGTTGCTATTGCTGCTGGCAGAAAGCTTGCTCACCGGCTGTTTGAGGGCAAAGCAGACTCCAAAATTAATTATAATAACATCCCTACTGTTGTGTTCAGCCACCCACCTATTGGCACAGTGGGACTAACTGAAGGTGAGCTTATGTACGAATAATGCTTCCTTACAGTATCTTAAAGATCAGACTCCATATGTAGCATTATTATTTTAGTATTATGTATATACCATTATATTATGTATTAATCTTTTAGTTTGATTTAGTCATTTTGATTGTATTTTTGTTAGTTTCATTTTTTTATTATTTCTATATCTATCTGATATTATTTTCTATATTGATTTTTTTTCAGCTTTAGTTTTAGTAGTTTTACTACTTCAACATCAATATTATTTCAGTTGCCAAGGAAACATTTCTAATTTTCATTTAACATTTTCTGTTTTGTTTTCTCTGTACGGAACATTTGCTACAACATGGTCCACATCTATCTATCTATCTATCTATCTGTCTGTCTGTCTGTCTGTCTAGCTCTCTCACGCTCTTCCCCATATTTACTTTATTTTCCATATAATATACACATGGAATTGCAGACAAAAGCATTTTAGATGAAAATATCCTAGATACCATTTTGATGATAAAATAATAATTCATTAAAAGTTCTTAAAAAGGCAATAAGGGTCAGATTTACAAACCCTTGTTTGGCTTTTAAAAAACTACTGTCAGGATTTACCTAAGACACGCTGACAAAGCATTAGAGATGAAAAAGTATGGACATAGGTATTTTGGCATCTGACCTTATTGCATATGCATTTGTAGGAGTTTCCCTTTCAGATGCTAAATTTATGGGAGGAGAGTATTTAAATAAATCATGGTGATTGACTAAGGTTTGCAGTGGTCAGTTTACTCGTATTTGTGCCATGACAGTATTTAACACCTAAAAAACCCAAATCTTCTTAACCCATTGTGAACCTGTGTTGTAAGTACGTTACATTTAATTAGTGAATTGTCATTAGATCACCATCAAAACTTTCCACTCCCACCAGCACTTTTATGGGATTTTAGACACTAATTTGCCCTGTTTAGTAAATCTGGCCCCAAGAATGTATGGAACATGTCCTAAAGTGTGTTCAGTGAACAGAATGACTGACAGCTTAACAAATAGTTTGAGCTACCCTTAGAATATATATATAAAAATGTCATGTTTTGCAGATGAAGCAATCAAGACCTGGGGAAAAGACAGTGTGAAGGTTTATACCACTTCTTTCACCCCCATGTATTATGCCATCACCACTCGAAAGAGTCAGTGCATCATGAAGTTGGTGTGTGCTGGCAAAAATGAGAAGGTGAGGTCATAATCAGTCCATTGATCATAAATGAGTATAAAATATCAAGAAGGATCTGGAGTAATATTTAATTTTATTTAAACAGTTTGCTGTAACATTTAAGTCATTTTCAATAAGACACTTTTCTTTTTTAGGTGGTTGGTCTCCATATGCAGGGTTTTGGCTGTGATGAGATGCTTCAGGGTTTTGCTGTGGCCGTGAACATGGGAGCTACTAAAGAAGACTTTGACCGAACCATTGCCATCCACCCGACGTCCTCAGAGGAGCTAGTAACACTTCGCTAATCAAGTGTTCATATCCCAACATGACAGCTTCGTTCCAATCTAAATAACAGCAAAAAAACATTTCTTTGACTATTCTCCCCAACGTTAATATTTTGTAATGATAAGAAGTATATATTTGGTTTGTTATATCTCTGGGGTCATGTATTATTGCCAGTGATTAAGAAAGACACATTACAACCGTTCATCAGGCTGTGTCTCTTGTACATTGCATTGTTGTACCCCACCGCTCCGATTTTTCACGGGTATTATTGTTTGATTGGAATAGGGTCAGATGAAGGCTTGATGATTTATGACAGCTAAAAGTACATTTTAATCTGTTTATAGTCAAACTGTTGCTTTACCTTTACATTTTTGGAAAGTAGGATTCAGAGAGTTACTTTCAGTAGTAGTTGCTGGTAAGTAGTGCTTACTAAATATATGTAAAATAAAATTGTGGATATGCACAGTTCAGCACTTGCGCATAGACCATGTATACATTTATAAAATACATGTGTCTTTGTGTGGTTGATCTTTTGTTAATTTCTGTATTGACATTGTCAATATACTTTTAATAAACCTGTCACTTTTCATAAAAACTTATACTGACATTGTCAATTCTTCAAAGGCTTAAAGTGAGTTGCATTTATAAGAGGCACTAGGCTAGTGAAGTTAAAGCATCTCTTTGGAATCATTAATATGCAAAGATATTGAACATTTGACACTATGATTACAAAATTCTAGTGTTGGTATTAGCAAATATTTTCTTGCTTAACATTTACTCAGCTGCTTTCATTTAACATTGTTTCACTCAGAAATTGAGGAATTTCAGTCACTTTTAATCTGCATCTTTATCTATAGGTGTTTAAATAAAAGGAGATTGAGGATTTATATCAATATGTTTGGCTGTCGGCTAAGTTTGGTTTCTAAATACCATCTTTTTATGAGATGAGGTGGGATTCAAATGCTGTATTAATCAGCCGATATTCTGAGAGGCTTTAGGAGAAATTTCCACCCATTTTGAGTACATTTCATTTGCAATAAAGTTCTCATTCACATAGCCAACATAGCACATTGAAAAGCTCATATTAACCTACCTAGTTGTGTGCTTGTCATGTTACTTTTACAAGTTATATCTATACTACCAGCCAAAAGTCTGGGATTAGAAAAACTTTTGAAAGGTGTCTCGTACTCAACTTGGCTGTGAAAGAATTCATCTTAAAATAACTTTTCTAATACAGAATTTAAAATGTTTTATTCTACTGGCAGCAAAGACAGCAAACATTACTGCAAAAATCATTTTAATGCGGTAGCTTTCAATCCTGGTACTGGGGACCCACTGCTCTGCACATTTTGTAAGTCTCCCTTATTTAAAACACACCTGCTCCATGAACTCAGCTGAGTGTCAGATAATGGAGACATAAAATGTGCAGAGCAGTGGGTCCCCAGAAACAGGATTGAAAAACACTGTTCTAACACACCGATTTGGTGAACTCAGAATAATCAAGATATTTATATATATAAAAAATAAAAAAAACACAACTCCGGATTCCTTGATTGCACGTATATTGTTTCCTAATTCCTACACAGTGCATATCTGTGATTAAATAGTAACCAAAAAAAAAAAAAAAAAAAAAAAAGAAAATGAAAAGAAAAATGAATAAAAACAATATCTTTTTGGTTTTCAACTGGTTGTGTTTTACAATAGGAACAGTGGAATACCATTAAAACAGAAATTAAGTTACATTTTAAAGTCATGGTCAAGGTCATGAAGTGAAACAATGAGCTGCTTAATTTCATTACCCCTGAGTTTCATCTCAAACAAATGGACAGGCAATAAACCTAGAACAAAATCAAACAGAAGCCTACATGGTGTTTTACCAGGCTTGACTTGCACAAACTTGACCACTTAAACCAAAACAAAAGGAAAACACAATGCGATGCGTGTCTGCTGGTACTGGTAATGGCACAGAACAACTAATTTAAACCAAATACCAAACATTTCGTTTTGAAAGTCCAGTGTCCAAATAGTTTGCATAAAAAATAAAATACAAAAAATAAAATAAAATCAAAAGTGACGTACAGCTTAAAGAGTCACATTAGTGCTTCTAATAGCCACCATAGCCACCACCACCACCGCGTGGGTAGGGCCCACTGCTCCTGCTGGAATAGCCGGCTTTCACAGCACCATAACCTGAAGGCTGCTGTCCATAACCCTCGCCGAAATCACTGTAGCCATTCCCGTTGCCGTATCCACCGCCCATCTGGTCACTATAGCCTCCTCCGTAGCTACTTTGGCTTTCGTAGTTGCCATCGTTACCGTATCCGCCGTTCTGATAGCCGTAGTCGCCATAGTAACCACCTCTTCCGCCGCCATAACCGGTTCCCCGGCCCATTCCTCGGCCTCCCCTGCCGCCGCGACCGCCGGCACCTTGCATCTCTTGCTTGGTGAGCGCCTTCTTCACCTCCACCTTGTGTCCGATGATCACGTGGAACTTCATCACGACGGCTTTATCGGCAGAGTCGTTGTCTTCAAAGTAAACGAAACCGAAACCTCGCTTTTTTCCGGTGTCTTTGTCGGTGATGACCTGAGCCTTCTCGATCGTACCGAACTGGGAGAAATACTCTTGGAGGTGTTCGTCCTCTATGTCGTCTTTCAGTCCCCCGACAAATATTTTCTTGACCTTGGCTAGTGCCTCTGGTTTACCAGCGTCTTCCCGGGCCACCGCTCGCTTCAGATCCACGTTGTTGCCGTCCACGACATGAGGCCTAGCAGCCATGGCGGCGTCCGCTTCCTCGACGCTCGAGTACGTAACAAAGCCGAAACACCGGGAGCGCTGCAGCGGCTGGTTAATCACCACCACGCAGTCGGTCAGCTGTCCATACTGTTCAAAATGTGCCCGCAAGCCTTCGTCGGTCGTTTGGACGTTTAGGCCGCCAACAAACAGTTTACAAAGCTGGTTCGTCATTTTCTTACAATGGACGTACTGAGATCACATGCAACGGAAGGAAGAACTCAAATGTGTTTGAAACGCGGGGGCGGTTCCTTTTGTGTGCGTCAAAACACACGTAGTGGACTCTGATTGGCTGCAAAGTAAAGCACATAAATCAAACCCATCCTCAATTAGCAAGACGCATTCTGGGCACTGGGCAGCAACCACTGACCTATAATAGAGAATTATTAAATAGATCAGTGGCTGCAACTAAAAGAATCAAAGCTAATTTGTCAATCCATTTAGTTTAAAAATATATAGATTTTTGGAAAGATGAAATTTCGAGTTCATGGGTTACATGTGAACTTGACAGCGGGTAGGCCTACATTTTGTTGCAAATGCAGTTCTATTCTGAATCCAAGAAATATCAGGGAATTTTAAAAAAAAAAGTGTTTTTTTCTAGTCCATGAACATTTCTATATTAAAATATACTTTCTTGTTATACTCTTTATTGTAGTATTTCTTTGGCTGCAAATAATCTTTGAGTGCAATTTCTATTAAATCCATGTGCAGTCATCACAAATGACTAGAAAGGGCATGGAGATTCAATGAGGAAGTGTCCAGTGGTAAATTTCCAAACTAATAAAAACTCCCATTAGAAAGTTAAATCCTGTCTTCGCCTTAGTTTCAAAACACTGGAATAAAAACATTTTACGGGTTTTTGGCCAGGTTACCATATTATGATGGCAGTTCATTAGCATCTTGGTGAGCAAAACTACTCTACACAAGTGTGTTTCAGTGATTCTAAAAAGTATAATATATTTTTATTAGAAAACAAACTCAGGAAACTTTAGGCCTGGATAGGCCTCAACTACGTCTTTATGTCTTACACGGTTTTATCACTTTGTGGCAACCGGGTTGTAGGCCAAACTAGAACAGTGCAACTTCATCATTCACTGTGATCATATGCACACCTGTTGTATGAAGGTATACTCCTTAATCCAATGAAAGTATATTTTGTTAAAAGTTCAAAGGATGCCACCATTTAAAACAAACTAGCCAATTAATAAGGTGACTGGGAGAGAAAAGGAGTACACCTGCAGTAAGATCATTGGTTCATAAGTTGCAAGTGAGATGTTCTGCAGATGTCTCAGCTTTGTTGCTTCCACCAATAAAGTATGATTTTTGTACGTGGAACTTTGTGACGAGTGATTTTTGCACAATCAAGGCCCTAATAAGCCGCGGTGTTACTAACCCAAATTCCATCGCACCAGTTCATGAAAAGTCCACTTGACTTATGGATGGAGACCAATTAAAAGACAACTTAAGGAACAAATATAATCCATTTATGAAAAAATGCAATACTTGACCAACACGTACGTAGTGAAGACAGGTTGATTACATACCTAGATCGCAGGATGATATCCTAATGAGATATTTCAGTCCTATCACAATCGAACCCAGGTACTGAACAGGTTCCCTGTACAAACAAACTGCTACAGCTATTTTGAAGTACTGGAATAACTGAAAGAACACCTATATGTGGGAATCAAGAGTAAATATAAACCATGAATATATATATATATATATATATTTATTTATATTTCACTGAATGTGGGTGGGATCGTGTTAAATTAATGTCAAGTAGTAATGCAACTACATGTATGCTTTACTACCTCAGGTGTGGTGGAAACCCCTTAGTTAAAGTCTATCAGCCAAAACGCCGTCTGAAAGGTTAATTAAGCTGTGAAACGTTTATTTAAAAAGTAACATACAATTGCATATCAATGTTTAACAATACTGGATTGATCTGAAGACATAATATACAATACACAAGAGAATGTTGGAAGTAATGATGCTCATACAGCGTTGAACTGAACTCCATGAGTGGGTTTCCGCGCTGGTTTACAAAATAAAAGAAATGGCGTAGGCTAATCTATCCCATCATGATAAAACTAGTTTGGAAAAACGCGTGGTGGGTTTTACACAGACGAACACAAACTCAAAACTGCATGCGTTAATCCCCCAAGACAATGCTAGGCAACAGTTTATATAGAAAACAAGTCTACGGAGAATGCATTTTGACAACAAATCGCCAGTGTTGAACAAAACTGAATTTTAAAACGAATGGGTTACGAACAATTCTAATCTTAAAAAAAAAAAAAACACACAAGTAAAAGAAAACAACCAGGGCCAACTTTGCTGCATGACCTAAAACGAGGAAAATAAATGATATCTAATATATATATATAACAGAACACGTCCTAAAACTAAAGCTGGTCGAGCAAGTCAGGTTTCTGGGAAGATATCTTCTTCCTACCTGTTAAGAATTGAGGTCTTTAAGGTATGCTTTCACAGTGTCCACCATCTCTTGCATGGCCGGGTGAATGAGCCCAACGTGGAAACCGAGAGAGAACCTTGGGGGACAGCTTTCCGAGTCTTTCCCAACCCGCTTTAGTAGCCTCCGTAGCCACCCCTGCCGTAACCAGGCCCGCCGCCACGGGTGTAAGGGGCTCCGCTTCTGCCGGCGTACGTGTTTCCACTCTTCATGGGCCCGTAGCCGGAGGACTGCTGGCCGTATCCGCTGCCAAAGTCACTGTAACCATTACCACCGCCATAGCCTCCCATCTGTTCGCCGTAGCCTCCTCCGTATCCTCCTCCATAGCCTCCGCTTCCATAGCCGCCGCCGTAGCCGCCATCACTGCCGCCGTAGCCTCCGCCATAGCCACCCCCGTAGCCTCCTCTCCCGCCACCGAAGCCATTTTGATTACGGCCCATACCTCTTCCTCCTCCTCTCCCCCTGCCGCCCCGAACTCCACCGGCGGCCTGCATCTCTTGTTTCGTGAGCGCTTTCTTCACCTCCACTTTGTGCCCGTTGATCATGTGGAACTTGAGCACGACGGCTTTGTCGGCCGAGTCGTTATCTTCGAAGTGGACAAAGCCGAACCCACGTTTCTTGCCGGTGTCTTTGTCGGTGATGACTTCGGATTTCTCGATCATGCCGAACTGCGAGAAATACTCGGTGAGGGTGTTCTCCTCGATGTCCTCTTTTAAACCCCCGACGAATATCTTCTTGACTTTGGCGAGAGCTTCGGGCTTCCCGGCGTCTTCCCGAGCCACGGCTCTCTTTAGCTCTACGGTTTTACCGTCTACCACATGTGGCCTGGCGGCCATTGCTGCATCAGCCTCCTCTGCGGAGGAGTAGGTTACGAAGCCGAAACAACGAGACCGCTGAAGTTGATCGTTTTGGACAACCACGCAGTCGGTTAGTGACCCATACTGTTCAAAATGAGCGCGGAGGCCATCGTTAGTTGTTTGGACGTTCAGGCCGCCAACGAAAAGTTTGCAAAGCTGCTCCATTCCTGACATATCGTGCCGCTAGACCGCTGTAACGAGTCAACTGTTAAGAAAAGGTCTTTTTTTAAACGACTGTCGTCACGACGCAATGTTCTCTACGGCAGTAAGACACGCCCATCGCTGGAAAAAAGGCGGGCACTTGGGGCTTTGTGTGTCAAAAACTCACACATATCACATATATCACTGAATTTTAAATTGTATCTTTAAAAAACTTTTTAATAACACAAAGAAAAATGTAAAATTAAATGTAATTTTAAAATAAAATTTTAAAATATGCATACTTGTCTTCTATAAAACATGCCGTTTTTAGTATGCAGTATGCAAAATTAGTATGACCATGCAGCCAGAGGCGGACAGTAGTGAAGTATTTTTACTTTACTCAAGTAAATTTAAAAAGTATCTGTAGTTTATCAGAGTGTTTTTCTTTGGAAAACTTTACTTCACTACATTCCAAAGCATAATGTCATAATTTTTACTGCACTACATTTCATAAATAAAGGTTGTTGTTTGTTTTACCTTTAATATTTAAGAACATTAAAAATGTATAGGCCTACTTTCTTGTACTCAAGTCAAATTTTTGAATTAATTTTACTTGAGTAAAAGTAAGAAAGTACTAGATTTCTAATGTAATTAAGTATTAAATAATATTTAATATGAAATGTAGTGCAGTAAAAAGAACAATATTATTCTTTGGAATGTTGTGAAGTAAATTTTTCTAAAGTACAGACACTTGAAAAGTACTTTTAAAGCAGAGTAAAAATACTTCACTACTGTCCGCCTCTGGTTAGAATTATGTGAAGAGACTTTCACATTTTGTGCTATTATTACCACAGACATTTGTAAAAGCCCAAATGATTTTTGAAGGTCCCCATGTTTAGAAAATGCCACATTCAACAACACTGACCTCTGAGAAAACAAATACAGATATCTGGCAATAAAGGTTTAGATGCAACAGAAAATTGTGAATCAGATTGCAGGAAAAAGACATTTTCTGGGGCATTTGCTAGTGACATTTTGCCCCAAGACTTGTTTGATTTCTAGCCCTGTCACCCCTCACCATATCATTTAAACATATAGTCAGTGATGGCAACTTTATTTGTCTAAGAAAATTATATGTTTTATTGATTATAGTAGTAACACAAAATAGTTAAACAAACCAAATCTGAATTTATTTCTTTTCATTATTTATATTTTTCATGTAGGCTATAGGCCTATATGCACACCTATATCTATATACACACACACATACACATACATAAAAATATATTTTCCAGTCAATGTGAAGCCGGTGGTAAAGTGTGGTGACATCACAGCAAAACTTGCTTGCAAAATAAAACTGAATTTTATTTAAGTTTCATTGAGGGGACAGATGCATGACCTTACCACTCAGCATGAGCAATAGGAACTGATAGTCGAGATCTGCATAACAGATGAAGTGTCTGTAGCCAACACTTTACAGATATTTGGTTACACTTAATGCTGATGGGTGGAGATTATGTCTTTGTATGAGAGTGTTCTCACCTTTTAATATGTAAAACACAACCATCGTCTAAGTGTGAGATGAGGTTTCAAGCTGTTATGGCTGCATATTTTGAATTGACCTAAAGACTTTAGATATGCAATATGACTAGGTTAACTGTCTGTAAGGACACTATTGCACACTAAGGTAGAAATTCATTACTTATGCCCATATCCAAATGACACAAGAAATATGAGGATATGACTCATGGGTTCTGTTTACACCTGGTCACCCGAAAGGGATGTTAATACCAGGTGTAAACAGGGCCATTTTGAATGCAAACTCAGTTTATTTATAAACTGAAATCCAAGAAATTCGGAGCTGTTGACAGCCTCCCCAGGAACCCCATGAATGTTGATTGATGTGTAACTCCATCACCCCTCACACTTTCTAAAGTAAAAAAAAAAAAAATTTCCCCCAATGTGCTATCGTTGATGTCATTCCAAATACTTAATTCCTATATGCTGTTTCATACTCCATTGTTTATTACAATGTCATTCATACCTGCAAGAGTGGGCCAAAATTAGGAAGAAAAAAAAAACAAGCCACTGAAGCATTTCCATTTTCGATGTTGTTTTAACATTTTTATTTGTGGATTGAAATGTAATATAAATAAATGTGATGTTTTATGTATTGATATTTTAATATAGGATATTATATTTATATATTGCAACATTTCAGCCCACGAAAGTTCGTGTCAAATAATAAATAAAGTTCGATTTTTGACCCTTTGTGATCTAAATCAATGCTTTTAGTTATAACCAGTACGACCACAGAGTGGCACTAGAGAGCGGTGTTTTGTGAAGGATTGGAAACCTCGTGTTTTCTCGCGATACGTGACTGACGACTGCTGCAGAATTCAAACTAGCCGTTTTGAAAGTTCCCGAGCAAGAAAGCGGTTGGGGGTAGTACATTCTTCAGATATAATATTGCTATCGCCAACTTTAAATCCAAAGGTAAACACATTTAGACATGTATTTTGCTGTGTAGCTGTCATTTAGACATGTCATTAAGAAAACATGCTTATTACCAATGCCACGCGATGTTTTTGATCGAAGTTTGCACAGATTACGTTAGCCCAACGTAAAGAACTAATGCGTTTAACGCTATAGTTGATCAAAAACATTAGATTCTATCATCATTTACTCACGACCATGTTATTCCAGACCTGTATGACTTTCTTTCTTCAATGAAAAACTAAAGGAGAATCAAAATGTTACTCTGTGGACTAAGATGCAATGAAAGTTAATGGTGACTGACTGACAGGGCTGGACTGAGGCTATTTTCTTTAAATAAATAAATAATACACACACAGACACACACACACACACACACACACACACTGCTGCTCAAAAGTTTGCGATCAGTAATATTTGTAATGTTTTTGAAAAAAAGTATCTTCTGCTCGTCGTGGTTGCATTTATTTGATCAGAAATACAGTAAAAAAAAAAACAGTAATATTGTGAATTATTATTATTGCAATTTAAAATAATGGTTTTCTATTTTAATATACTTTAAAATGTAATTTATTTCTGTTATTACAAAGCTGAATTTTCATCAGCCATCACTCCAGTCTTCAGTGTCACATGATCCTTCAGAAATCATTCTAATATGCTGATTTAATATCAATATTGGAAACAGTTTTGCAGCTTAATATTTTTTTTGGAACCTGTGATACTTTTTTCAAGATTCTTTGATGAATATACATCATTTAGGGATGTTAAATTGATTAAAAAAAAGTGATGATCAAGACTTTTCTTGTTAGAAAAAAAATCTATAAAAAAAAAAAACACTGTTCTTTTTAACTTTATTCATCAAATAATCCTGAAAAAAATATCACAGGTTGCAAAAAATATTAAGCAGCACAACTATTTCCAGCACTGATAATAAATCAGCATATGATTTCTGAAGGATCATGTGACACTGAAGACTGGAGTAATGATGAAAAATCAGCTTTGCATCACAGAAATAAATTATATATTAAAATAGAAAACCATTATTTTAAATGATAATAATAATATTTTACAATATTACAGTTTTTTCTGTATTTCTGATCAAATAAATACAGCCATGATGAGCAGAAGAGACTTATTTAAAACACATTAAAAGTCTTACTGATCCCAAACTTTTGAACAGCAGTGTGTGTGTGTGTGTTTGTCTCATATATATATATATATATATATATATATATGAGACAAAAAGTCTACACATGCTTGTACATGGGTAAATGATCACATTTTTTTCTCTCTAATTTCAGATGTCAGATCTAGAGGATGAGATTAAAGTGTTGCGGCGGAAGGTGCAGGAAGGAGAAGAGGCACTTCAGAGGGCTGGACAGTATGGACTTCAACTCTTGGATGACAAAATGGATCTGCACAACAAATTGGAGGAACAACGAATCGAGATGTCCAATGTCATTGAGGTACTGACCCAGCACTGATTTGCAGCATTTGATCTCCACACCCAGTATGATGATTGACAGTCCAGTCGATCAGTGAATGATTCCTTAAATGTGCTAAATTCTCCAATTGCAGGCCCTGGAACAAGAGAAATACTCTTTACAAAGGGATGTTGAGCTAAAGGCCCGCATGCTGGAGAGTCTGCGATCAGAATTTGATCTCGTCAGAAACCAACAGAAACATCAAATGGAGCAGCAACAAACTCTGCTGGAGAGGAGCCATGCTCTTGAGCTCAGTGATTTCAAGAATAAGGTCAGCTCATATGCTCTTTTGGTGTTCAGAAGTTTTTTTTTTCAATATAAAGCAGGAGTTCCCAGAGGATTCATTCATCTTCCATGTTTTTATCCGTTAAAGCTGCCGCATGTCATTTTTTAAAATGTTACAATAATTTCTGACCACTGGAAATGGCGGAGTGTTCAGGAAACCTATTAGAAAACTATTTTAATTTTTGCATTTGGTGATGCCACTAGTAGCAAAAAACTTGGGTTGAAGCATAATTTCAAAAAGTTACTTATTGTATAGCTTATTGTCCTGAAAAGAAATGTTATCTCATCTGTGGTGCTGATGAAATGTCTTTGTAGTTGGAAAAAATGAAGACAGATTTAGAGGAGGCTCAACTTGCTGAGAAGCAGATGAGACACAAGCTGGACCAGCAGTCTGAAGCACTAAACAGCAAAACCGAAGAACTTCGTGTCCTTACAGAACGTGCACATGAAACAATGTCCTCCGAGATCCTTGAGCTGCAAATGCAGAAGATGGATATGGAATCAGCAATGGTAGAGTACTTTCCAGTCTTTATTTTTAATGGAAATAAGTGGTTTCATAGAAATAAGGAATGTCAGTGTGTAGGGCTGGGCGATATGGCCAAAAATATTTTTTTTTTTACATATCATACAATGGGGAAGGAAATGCTTTCCACATGTTTGTTGGTTTTGAGAATAAATGCTAAGATAATTAGTTTGTTCACAATTAAACTCTACAGAGCTACCTTTTAATTTAGGGCCCCATGAAATCTGTTTTATTTTCCTCTAAATTCTGTTTTCCATTCTATTTTTTTCCTGGATACTGTGTTTTATGGTTCAATACAAATTATCTAAAAAAAATTGTGTGTAATTATGAATTAATACATCTTTAACAGTTTAATCAATCTTCTAAAATGTAATGAAAACAATTTACAATGAAACATTGTATTTTTATGTTTACAACAGCACTGAATAACTGTATAAATTCATGAAAAAAAATTACATTGGTTGTATAATATTCTTTAAAAATATTATTATTAATAATATTTTTATCAAATGAAATTGTGAAAAGCTTGCGAAGTGACTCTTCGCACCAGTTAATTCATGTTGAGTAAAAATGTCCAGAGCTTGCCATTGTTATTGACTTAAATTTTATCGTGACTGAATATGATAACGTTTTATCGCCCAGCACTATCAGTGTGCCCTTGGTGCTGAAGTGTGACCTTGTCTTGCAGGCGACTTTGGAGCAGGAGCTTCAGGAGGCACGATACAAAGAAGAGCAACTACATTTGGCCAACACCACCCTCCAGAGACAACTAGAGAGACTCACGGAAGAGAAGGAAGAGAGAGAGAGAGAGGCAGTGTCCTGCTACAATTCTTTGGAGGCACGTCTATAAGCATTTTCAAGTAAACATGTTTATGAAACATGTATTTACACTACCTTTCAAAAGTTTGGAGTCTGTAAGATATTTTAAACGAAGTCTCTTATGCTCACCAAGGCTGCATTTATTTGATCAAAAATACAGTAAAAAGTAATATTGTCAAATATTATTACAATTTAAATAACTGTTTTGTATTTTAATATATTTTAAAATGTAGTTTATTCCTGTGATGGCAAAGCTAAGTTTTCAGCTGTCTTCAGTGTCACATGTTCCTTCAGAAATCATTTTAATATGCTGATGTGATGCTGAAGAAACATTTTTTAATATTATCACAGTTGAAAAAAGTTGTCTTGGTATTTTTGTGATAACCGTAATATATATTTTTTCAGGATTCTTTGAGAAATAGAAAGTTGTTTAAAATATATATTTTTGTAACATTTTTTTTAGTTTTAGATCAATTTCGATCAATTTAATGCATTCCTGTAGAACAAAAGTATTAAGTTCCCTAAACATTTTTGAACGGTATTGTTATATTGACATGGATAATGTAGGTAATACTCTAGAAAAATATGTCTTATAGTGATAAGTAGGCCCACATGGAATTCTGATGCACATTTTCTGTGCTGATTATATATTTTTTAAAGATAAAATATATATATATATATATAAATGTAAAATTTTTTGTTCTACTGTATGTAGAAAGCTCGTGAAGCCAACCAAGACCTTCAAATCCAGCTGGAACAGGTGTTGCAGCAGGCACAAGATCCAAACAGCAAAGGCAATTCTTTATTTTCTGAGGTACAGCATTAAGCGTTACTTCTATTACTTGGCTTTATGATATTTATGTCTGCCAAGAGCTTTCATTGTAACTAAAGATTAATTTCAAGAGCATCTGAATTAGGCTTGCCGTGATAGACGGTGTTGACAGTGATACTGGTGTTAAGCCGCAACACCGGTTACATCACTTGCCCACCGACCCCCACCGTCGTTTTGATTTTTTATAGTAATAAAAATCATTTAGTTCAGTAAAAGAATGCCGCTATTTTAAAGTGAAAGTAAAATGGGCACACCGCTTTTACAAGCTATTTAAAAGCGAAGGAAAGCGAGGAATAGAGGGAACGCCCTGCCCCCGCGCTGATACCGGTATTACCGGTGTTGTCACGCGTCGATTAACCGGTGGGAAAATTTCCTCGCCGTCACAACCCTAATCTGAATTACATTTTATAATACCAATGCAATACCATTTTTTTCCCCCTATAAACTGTTAATATGGGACAGCTACTCCAAATATTTCCATGGTATTGCTTCATAATAATACAACTGTAGTTACTAAATGTTTTGAGAGGTTACACTTAAATTGCTTTGTGCCATGACACAAAATATTTGGATTTGCACAGGTAGAGGACAAGAGAGCAGAGATGGAGCGGCAACTGAAAAGCATGAAACGACAGCATGAGTCTCTACAAAAGCAGCATGCTCTCACCAAGCAACATATGCACCGCATGAAGGTAAATAGTGGTTTCTGAGAAATTTTTAATAATTTATTTACATTTTTTTCCACATTATTTATTTTCTGAGGTACAGCATTAAGCGTTACTTCTATTACTTGGCTTTATGATATTTATGTCTGCCAAGAGCTTTCATTGTAACTAAAGATTAATTTCAAGAGCATCTGAATTAGGCTTGCCGTGATAGACGGTGTTGACAGTGATACTGGTGTTAAGCCGCAACACCGGTTACATCACTTGCCCACCGACCCCCACCGTCGTTTTGATTTTTTATAGTAATAAAAATCATTTAGTTCAGTAAAAGAACAGACACTACAATTAAAAACTGAACGCGGCTGCTCAATGCAGCGTGCCGAACGACAGTCGCATCACATTTCCATGGTATTGCTTCATAATAATACAACTGTAGTTACTAAATGTTTTGAGAGGTTACACTTAAATTGCTTTGTGCCATGACACAAAATATTTGGATTTGCACAGGTAGAGGACAAGAGAGCAGAGATGGAGCGGCAACTGAAAAGCATGAAACGACAGCATGAGTCTCTACAAAAGCAGCATGCTCTCACCAAGCAACATATGCACCGCATGAAGGTAAATAGTGGTTTCTGAGAAATTTTTAATAATTTATTTACATTTTTTTCCACATTATTGTTTTCCTTATGTGTGCCGTTTTAGATGCAGATAGCCACCCTTATGCAGCTCCAGGGCAACAGGGCTGACCCAGCACAGCTTGAACGACTGCAATTCATGTTATCTGACAAAAACAATGAGATAGAAAGCTTGATGATGAAAGTAAGAGAGCTGGAGAAAGCGAAGGTGAGCTTAGCATATCACATTCAACATAGAAATTATGAAACATATTACAGTTTGAGAAATTAATAGTAATAACTAATGCTAATGTGACGTCACCAACAGATGACTGTAAAAGACCAGCATCCACCTGCCCCCTCTAAAGAAGGCGAGGTTATGGATGAGACTTATTACACAGACCTATTAAAAATGCAACTTTCAAATTCAAAGTAAGTATTCTCTCATCAGTTATTTGTACTGGTGGTGTTACTTTAGAACTTTTCAAAACAATCATGGCATGTATGTGTATAGGAAAGATGCAGAGAAACTGAAGGATGAGTTGTCCATGGCAAGAATGAAGGCTCTCTCTGAAAGTCAGAGAGTGTTGGAGTTGGAGAGGAAACTTTATGGCACAGAGCAAGCACTAAAACAAAGACACAGTGACAATATGAGGCTCCAAGTCAAGCTTGAAGAACTAAAGATGAAATATATACCTAACGGTAATTTTTACTCCATCTCTGAACATTAGTTTTCTACATAAACCTGTTTATTGTGTAATAGAGTGCAACAGTCGGTTCCGGAAGTAAAAATTCCTTTCATTTTCTCTAGAGGAGAATTGATTTTTAACAATAACCTATAAATTTAAGTCTAAGACTGATCTACTGTGATCTATGAGGATGTTAATCATTGGTATGATTCTGCAAAGAACTCTCCACCAATTTACAATCACGACAAGCAAATTCATAAAAAAAACTCTTTAGCACTCATTTCCACGAAGCATTGCAAAAGACGTGGTAGTCAGGCACCCTGTGCTGTCAAACTACTTTTCATATGTGACCCTGGACCACAAAACCAGTCTTAAAGCAGCACTATGTAACCGCTAGAGCGCCAAAAGTTACATAGTGCTGCTTTAAGTCGCTGGGGTATATTTGTAGCAATAGCCAAAAATACATTGTATGGGTCAAAATGATAGATTTTTCTTTTATGCAAAAAATCATTAGGATATTAAGTAAAGATCATGTTCCATGAAGATATTTTGTAAATTTCCTAATGTAAATATATTAAAACTTAATTTTTGATTAGTAATATGCATTGCTAAGAACTTCATTTGAACAACTTTAAAGGTGATTTTCTCAGTATTACAATTTTTTTTGCACCCTCAGATTCCAGATTTTCAAATGGTTGTATCTCGGCCAAATATTGCCCTATTCTAATCTCAGTTTCGAAAAATTGACCCTTATGACTGGTTTTGTGGTCCAGGGTAACACACACACACACACACATATATATATATATATATATATACACACACACACATTTTTATTCCTCATAAAAAATGTTAATTACACAGTCTTGTTCTTTTGTCTGTATCTTTTGTCTGTGATTTTCAAATTTTTTTTGCTTCAAATCAAAGGTTGTAATGTGATTTTCCTCATAAAAAATGTTAATTACACAGTCTTGTTCTTTTGTCTGTATCTTTTGTCTGATTTTCAAATTTTTTTTGCTTCAAATCAAAGGTTGTAATGTGATTAACTCAGTTGATATGATTAGCAGGTTGGTTTCAGTTTATGGCATATAACTCTTTAAAACTTTGCATGGAAAAAATAAAAATACGTATGTACTTTTTAAAAATATGTATGGGAAAAATACTTCGGAACCAAGGCCACTGAAAAAGTGGGCGGGTACTATTGCACTCTATTGGATAACTGCTGTAATTCATTTTTGTGCTGCTATTATGTGCTGGTAATAAATGTACCATTGTTATGTATTCAGAGGTGAACAAAGTACAAGTACAGAAACGCCGCCGGGAGAAGTTTCCTGTAGCTGTTCCAGAGGAAAAATCAGCACCTAGCAAAGAGGAAACTGCAACCATGGACACTGAGCCAAGCAAGGGCTCTAGTACAGAGGAAAAAACCCTCAGTCATCCTGTTGAGAAGCCGGTTGTGATCCCCTTGCATTCTGCACAACCCACAGAACCCAACCCTGTCATGTCCCGTGAAAGCAAGTCTGTCCGAATCTGTGAGGATCCCCCAGTCTGCATTCCTGATGTGCCCAGGTCAGTGCCAACCTCTGCATGCCAACCCTTCTCCTTTCTGCTGCGCTGTGTCAACTTTACAGTCTTTGTCATCTTCCTCTTCCTGGGTTTTATGAGAACACTCACTCCTCGACCGTCACTTCCCTCTCTACCGTTGCCTCTCAGGAACCCTGTAGCTCGAAGACGCTTAATCCCATGAGATATTGGTTTATTGACTACACTTTAAGAAGATGAACTGTTTAAGGACTGTTAAATCATTGTGAAATGTAGCCTGATATTTGAGTAATATAAATACATAGTTGTTAACCTTTTGCACTTCAACTGTCAGAACTTTTTGACAGTGACATTAAAATTTTAACTGTTAAAGAAACACTCCGTGTGGCAGTAGCAATAATGTTAGTTACATTAACTTGCAATAATTAAAATGTTACTTTTTAAAGAAACACTCCTGTGACAGTAGCAATAATGGTAGTTACAATTAACTAAATGTTGTTTTATGACATTTACATTTTAGCACTTAAGGTCTGTAATTTGAACCACCACAAACTGAATGATTTGCCTGTAGGTCTCCTGTAAGTGACTCCAATAGCAAGAATGAGGATCAAACTCATCAAAGCAGCGAAGAGGAGGAGAACTGGAGAACTGAAAGGAAGAGGATAAAGTACCAACAGCCCACTCATGTTAACTCAGAAAAAACTATGGCAAACGAGTGTGCTCAACAGTAGTTTGGCTATTGTAAAATGTGAATCCTTTATCAATATTTGTCATACTTAAAAAAACAAAAACAAGATATTGTGTATGAATTTTACAGGTGTATAATTTACATCATTATTTGATTTGTGGCTTGTCCTGCCTATGCACCTGATTTGTAAAACAGTTTACCTTTTTTTACATGTGTTAATAAGCTCTGTAAAATAATTAACTATTTTCGACTGTTTGAATAAAAAAAGGTGAATTAATGCAGCCTGATTAGTAATTCATTCATTTCTGGTACTCAGCTTGCTGTGTGCCTATTATTTCTATGTTTTAGAGTGGTTTACAAACAAACAATAAGAGCCAGATTGCTATGGTCTTCAGTTTTTGGCTTTCACTGTGAGACACTGATTGATTAACAGTATATAAGCCACTGTGTTATTCTATTGAGTACAGTATTTGCCATTTTCTCATAATATGTTCTGCTTCAGCTGCATTTGTGCAAAATGGTTAGTTTATATAATCATTAGCCTTATTGTTGATTTCTTTTTCTCAATTTGTTGTCTTGGAACTGAAAAAAAACGTTTTTTGTAGATTTGTATTATGCTGTTTGTGTAATTCACATATAGGTAATTCACAGGAAGTTTACATTAAAATTATAGCTGTGTACTATTTTAAAAACGTAATATAAAAATATTTAAATTACTTTTTTCTGTTTTAAAAAGGGGTAGGTTTAACTAACCATAGACATGGACAGGGGGTTTAACTTGCCTTTGATTGCGTCAGGACAAGGTGCATCTTCCTTTAGCCAATCATCGCGACCAGAAAGAATGACGTTTTCCGAAAGCACACACTCGCGTTTGTCTGATTGGTTCACGTATTCCGCCCGGATGGACTACGGAAATGCACGTGCCGGTTTCTAGTTGTTTCTTTTTGGATGGTGCAATCGTTAAACTCAGCTTGTTAACAACTTAAATAAAACGGGCAAATCCAGGATGAGATAATTTAATAACCGAATATCGTCAAAGTCTGGGAATGGATTTTGGTTTCGGCTGGTCTCCTGGCAATGGATGACCTGTGATTGTTTATCAGATTATTTTTCATAATTTATCTGCGCGCATATTGCAATTTCTTTGTCCAAGATAATGATGACCAGACGTATTATACAAAAGAAGTGGCGACTTGGACTGTCAATCGCCCTCTGGCTCGTCAGTCTTCATCTCATATGTGCCCACAATGTGAAGGTGAGATCTGCTGCCGCACAACTTAGTATTACTTTTATTGTAACTTTAATAACTATTACTTTTGGCTACGCAGTCACCAACAGCCCTGTCTATCAAAGAAGGCTCTGATGATCATAGCCAGGGTGAAGAGACACTGCTAGAGGATGAGGATTCTGAAGATCTGGAGGTGTTTAGACCTACAGACAAGTGGCAAACTCTAAAACCAGGTGTTTATTCCCATGCTGACTTTTGTGTCCTTACATAAATAGATAATTAACTGATCAAGTCCTTATTTATCTGTAATTCAATTTAGGTCAAGCAATTCCAGCAGGCTCTCATGTCAGATTGAATATTCAGACGGGCCAAAGAGAGGTCAAGTTGGGAGAGGAGGAAAGTCTCAAATACCGGAGAGATGGAAATAGGTATGTATAGTGATAGAATAATGTAGTATTCTAAAATAAATACATGTATCATATAGCTAGTTATGCTTATTTTTTCCTCTGTGGAGCAGGCAAGGGATGAACACGCACAACCCCTCATTCACAGCTGAGGAGTTGAAAGAGGCTTTGAAAAAGTATAAAGAAGGAATGGATGATCCTGTGGACACAACACAAGTATGTTCATTTCAGTTCATCTCTAACCATTTTCCTTTGTTATTTATTGAGTTTTTTTTAATCAAGATGTATGATTATAGGACGAAGATGCAGTGAGGGCCCAATTTCGCCCCATCGAAGAGCTGAAAAAAGACATGGAGGCACTTGACATGCTTATGGAGACAGATGTTCAAGTTATGAGGAGGCTTTTAAACCAGTTAAATAATACTAACAGCACAACTGAGGAAAAAGTCACAGCTCTTCTTGACTTGGAGTACCTTGTGCATCAGGTCAAGCCTCAGTTATGATTATGAAGCAAAATGTCTTATACAGTTCACTGCTTCTCAAAGTCACTGAATCCCATTGTTTTGTTTTTTTCTTATAGGTAGATAATGGCCAGAATTTGGTGTCCATGGGAGGAATGCAACTGGTTATAAATGCTTTAAACAGTACAGACATTCATCTCCAGAAGAGTGCGGCGTTTGTTCTTGGATCTGCCCTTTCAAGGTAAGTGGTATTTTCTTCATCAAAACGGCTGCTTACACATGATTTAAAGTGTGGTCACATTTACTGTTGTTCAGTGAATTTTTGTGTGCAAAATCCAGTGATTTCATTAGAAATCCATGCAATCAGGAGGAATTTCCCCACGCAAATTTGGCAACAGATTCAAGTTGGTCAAGCGGATTCTGTTGACTGGTTTGAAAGGGATTTCTGTGTGAGCTGTGCTTCATACATTGCTATGCTATTGACAAGTCAATGGACCTTTTTTGCCTGTGAAATTTTGCGAAATGTGAATGCACCTTTACACTGACGCAATCCATTTTCATCTACATTTTTCTAGTAATCCATCAGTGCAAGTTGAGGCAATAGAAGGTGGCGCGTTACAGAAACTGTTGACATTGCTTGCCACTCAGCGACCAACAGCGGTAAAGAAAAAGGTATGACCAACCAGAAACCATGGGCATTATGCTGTTAATGAATAGTAAATTAAATTGTCGTTATCATGTATTAATGTAGACGAATGCATCATTAACTATGACATTCTGATTTATTACAGGTGTTATTTGCTGTGGCCTCATTGCTGCGTCACTTCCCATTTGTACAAAGTCACTTTTTGAAGCTTGGTGGTGTGCAGGTGCTTAGCGAACTGTTTCAAACACCAGGGGCAGAATCCCTGCGTGTGAGAATCATCACAGTTCTCTATGATATGATAATTGAAAAGGTTAATATTAGTTTACAAATTTATACTTCACTATACTACCATTCAAAAGTTTGTAAAAAAAAAACGTTTTTTGTTTGTTTTTAAAAGAAGCAATGATGCATAAAAGTGATCAACACTGATAGTAAAGACATTTATAATGTTACAAAAGATTTTGAACTTTATCAAAGAATCCTGAAAAATGTATTCACAGTTTCTACAAATATGTTACACAGCACAACTGTTTTCAACATTGGCAATAATAAGAAGAAATGTTTCTTGAGCACCAAATCAGCATATTAGAATGATTTCTGAAAGATCGCATTACACTGAAGACTGGAGTAATGGCTGCTGAAAATTCAGCTTTGTCATAAAAAAAAAACTAATTCTATATTAAAACAGAAAACAATTATTTTAAATGATTGTGATATTTAAAGCAGCACTATGTAACTTTTGGCGCTCTAGCGGTTAATAAACAGAACTGCACACATCCCGCGGAAGAACATTCCAACCGGAGCTACTTCTCTAAATGTACGTCTATGGCGATTCACTCAGGTATGTGTTACTCCGCAGCGGTGGACAACCCGACCAGGCTACAATAGTCCAAATATACGTAGGCTACTTATTATAAGTGTACCGTAGTGATTCGGAATAAGACAAAAAACGCGGTTTGGAAGATGAATTCATGATGTACTCGCTCATTATATACATTTTGCAAATTTTGAATAACGAAAAAGTTACATAGTGCTGCTTTAACAGTATTATTGTTTTTACTGTATTTTTGATCACACAAATGCAGCCTTGGTAAGCATAAGAGAAAATAAACATTAACAAATATTACCATCCCCAAACTTTTAAAAGGTAAAACATGTTTGAAATTTAAGTCAGTTTTTCATTTCACAATTCATACCGTATGTAATTAACTCATTGTTAAAAGTCACTTGTACTTTGTGTTGTAGGAGTTGGTATCACAGGTGGGAATGGACCTTACATCAGATTCCTCTCACCAGGAACGGTTGCGACAGTATGCTGAAGTCTCCCTCCTGCCCGTGTTGGTGGAGCAGGGGTGGTGCAGCCTGGTGCCTGCGCTTTTAGCATCACCTGAGCATGACAGTAGAGAGAAGGCTCTGCGCACTCTGCTTGCCATGATGGCTCAATGCCAGACTCAATATAAACAGAATCCCGCATTGACAGCCTCTCTTAGTGAACTGCAAAAACAGTACCAAGAACTGGTGCTCACAGAGCAGGATGTAGGGGAGCAGGACGGTTACTTTGGGGAGATCCTGGCACTCGTGGACTCTATGGTGGTTAAAATGCGACAGGTATAAATTGGGACTGCTGCTGGTTTCTTGGAACACAATGAACTAATAAAATAATTGAGTTCTGAATGATGGATTTGTCTGGTTGCTCCATTAAGAAAGGGGCATGCAATGTTTCTTCGCCATGCTATTAACAATCAAAAGAAATGTGAGAAGAGTGCTATAGATGTCTGTATAATTTTAAAATTGAATCAGAAATATTAAGCAGAATTAAAATCAGAATTTTACAGCTGTAAAAATACAGTTGTACAGCTAGAATGTTTGAAAATGTTTACATAATTAGAACGGCAAAAAACAATTTAAAATTGAATTAAATTGTAAATAAATAAAAAAACAAATAAAAAAAGTACAACTCCAAAACATATTTGCTAAGTTTTTAGAAGTGTTCTTGTTTTTTTTGTTTTTTTCATATGTATCAGGTTTATATATCAGGTTTTATTTACTTTAAATAAGCTTTTTAACATTCTAATTATGATCAGATGATTATAATACAAAGACAGCTGTATCATCCCAATATTTACTTTATGCCTCTCAAACATGTCCAAATGAATTTCATTTCAGAAAACAAAAACATGTATATTATAGAACATATATGTTCAAGTCAGTGTGTGTAAATTGCATTTTTAATGTATTTTTGAATGATGCAAAAAAATAAATAAATCTTGCATTCACCCACATATTAAAATATTTTAAGTATTTTTAGCTTTCTGAAGTTTCTTATCTGGCTCAGGAGAAAAAATGCTCATATGTGCTACAAAATTATGCCGTTTTTCTTTTCAGTACAGAGCCATAGTAATTATGTAGCAAAAAGAAGAAAGAACATTTAGAGTTAGACAATGTGGTTTATTGAAATTCTTTTTATTAATTTATTTAT